GAAACTTCCTGACAGTTAGAACAATTAACCAGTGGAACAACCTGCCTCCAGAAGCGGTGAATGCTCCAACACTGGAAGTTTTTAAGAAGAGACTGGACAGCCATTTGTCCGAAATGGTATAGGGTTTCCTGCCTGAGCAGGGGGTTGGACTAGATGACCTTCAAGGTCCCTTCCAACTTTACTATTATTATTATTATAATGATTGGCTATTAGAATGATCAATCAATACTGAGCACCGCTTCTCAGTTTGTCTCAGAGATGGGAGTGACTGGAGAGGTCTATTGGAAGGAGGGTTGGGGGGAACTTGGAGTACAGGCCCTAAAGCTATTTTTTTTTTATGTGTGTGTTTTTAAAATTTTTAATAATGACTTTTTGTATTTTTATAACTATTGTTTCTATATGTTGTTTTTAATGATTACTGTACGGCGCCCAGAGATGCTTCTTGTGAGATGGGCAGCCGTATAAATGTAATTAATAAAATTTCCATGTGCAGGAGGGAAGTTTTATGAATAGATCTATCATGTAGGGCAGGGGTAGGGCACCTTGGCTCTTTTATGATTCGTGGACTTCAACTCCCAGAATTCCTGAGCCAGCCATGCTGAGGGGAAAAAGAGAGGTTTCCAAGCTGAGCCATGCTGGCTCAGGAATTCTGGGAGTTGAAGTCCACGAGTCATAAAAGAGCCAAGATGGCCTACCCTACTGGCTGGGGAATTCTGGGAGTTGGTCCACGAGTCATAAAAGAGCCAAGGTGGCCTACCCCTGATCTAGGGCCAGAAAAGGACTGACTTCCTTGAGACTCTACATTATAGACTTCAATTCCCAGAATTCCCCAGTATGTAATTTTTTGTTTGTTTTTAATCTTTAAGGTTTTTAATTATTTTTTTAATTTGGTACGCTGGCCAGAGTCCATTGGAGTTGAGCCGCCAACAAATTTAAATAAATAATAAACACTTAAGGTTACCGAGATGTCAATGAAGCGTGAGCCAACAGCGTGTTGCAGTTGACAAGATAGCCAATGCAATCTTGGGCTGCATCAAAAGAGGTACACACACACCCCTCTCCTCATTTAGCAACCGTAATCCGTTTCTTAAATTGGAAGCGAAATGGTCACTAAGGAAAATGGTCGCCAAGCACAAGTGTGACGGAGAGAGAGAGAGAGAGAAAGACAAATACTGTGAAGATCCCTGGTTGTGGCATTTCATTTTTAGATTAAAGTTCTCGTTACTCTTGCTCTGGTGTGTGTTCTTGTCTGCGCACAAAATTCAGTTGCAACCGCACCTCCTGGTCAGAAGATGATTTTTTTTAAAAAAAATACCATCATATTTAATGAGATTGGTCATAAAGAAGATGTTGAGATTGTGAGAACTGATCGGTCTATTTTATACCACATTACTCAAAACATATTTGGAAGGATGTGCCAGTTATGATCATTATAATACAAGAGGGAGGGAAAGATCCTGGAAAGACTTGAGGAGGAGAGCCACAAAGTGGGTTGTGAACGGCGGGAAAACCAAGTCCTCTGAAGCACAGGTCCCCAACCCCGGGGCTGAGGCCCACTACCGGGCCTTGAGCAGTTTGGAACCGGGCCGTGGAAGTTGCAAGTGCACGACTCCCCACTTGTGGAAGCAGCATGCGAGTGCATGCGCTCCATTTGTGTGAGGAACGGGTGCGGGTGCCTGCCGCTCACGCAAATGGAGCTGCGTGTGCGTGCGCTTGCCCGGCCGCTCACGCACAACCAACTCTCTGCCCCCCCTCCCGCCAGTCGACAAAGCTGGAAAGATTGTGGAAATCTACTCCAAAGAACCGTTGAGATAAATGTGCTAAAGAAGAGAAAGCAAAGGGAGATGTAACGAGTGTCTTCCAGCACAGGTAGTCCTCAATTTACAACTATTCATTTAGATTCTCAGTCATCCAGGTTATGGTTGTCCCAAAGATGCTTTTTCACGAGGAAGCTGGACTTTCTTATTTTTCTTTGAAGACGTTTCGCTTCTCATCCAAGAAGCTTTGGACAAGCATGGATGGTGGGGAATGGAAGGAGTTATACTCCTTGCAGACAGCTGGTCATTTGCATCCTTTTAAAGAGTCATTGAGGCCACTTGGGGGTTTACCTGTCATCAGGGTCACTTGAGTGGTGCAAATGGGTGTGGAGCCTTCTTGGCTGCAGGATGATTCCTGCCCTGTGTCCCTTCACTGCTGAACACAGGCTCAGGCCGTTGGGGATGAGTCTGTGTTGTCTGCATCTCAAACTGAAGCGCAAACGGTTCCCGTAGTCTGCAATGTTTTTCTGGAAATCCGTTCATCCTCCCTCACCATTCGAATAGCGTTCATCCCAAAAGTGCATAGCTAAATGACCAGCTGTCTGCAAGGAGTATAAATCCTTCCGTTCCCCACCATCCAGTCAGAGCCGAAGAAGCTTCTTGGATGAGAAGCGAAACGTCTTCAAAGAAAACACAAGAAAGTCCAGTTGCCTCCTGAAAAAAAGCCCCTTTGGGACAACCACGACCTGGATGACCTGAGAATCTCCACAGACTTTCAAATTTTTTTCAGTGGTGTTGTAATTTTGAATGGTCGCTAACCAAATAGCTGCAAGCCGAGGACTACCTGCAAAAAAAAAATGGGGCAAAACTCACTTAGCAACGTAAATTCTGGGCTCAATTGTGGTCGTAAGTCGAGGACCGCCTCTATTAAGCCTTAGAAATGGCCGGCATTTGAAACTGGAATGCAACTGTTGCGTCACAAAGAGAGGTTAATTTGTCGGCTTCCTCTCCCGTGTGGATTCTCTGGTGTCTAATAAGGTTGGTGCTTTGGCTAAAACTCTTCCCACACGCCAGGCATTTATAGGGTTTCTGCCCTGTGTGAATCCTCTGGTGTTTAACAAGCCCTGACTGATCGCAAAAGGTTTTGTCACAGTCCGAGCATTTATACGGTCTCTCGCCGGTGTGAATCCTTTGATGCGAGGTCAGGTGGGTGCTCTGGCTGAAACTTTTCCCACACTCCAAGCATTTGTACGGCCTCTCCCCTGTGTGAATGGTCTTGTGGTTAATGAGGCCCGACTGGTTGCAAAAGCCTTTCCCGCAATCCGAGCACTTGTAGGGCTTCTCCCCCGTGTGGATCCTCTGGTGCGAGGTCAGGCTGGTGCTGTGGCGGAAGCTCTTCCCACACTCGGAGCATTGATAGGGTTTCTCCCCGGTGTGGATCCTCTGATGTTGTATCAGGCTGGTGCTCTGGTTGAAGGTCTTGCCACAGCTGGAGCAGCTGTAGGGTCTCTCCCCCGTGTGGACCCTCTGGTGGGAGGTCAGCTGGGTGCTTTGGCCAAAACCTTTCCCACATTCTAAGCACTTGTAGGGCTTCGCACCGGAGTCAAGAAGCTGATATTCAGCAAGGTTTCTACTCCAATGAAAAGTCTTCCNGCAGGAAATGATGACATCACTCTTTTTCTCCTCAGGTCTGTATGATTCACCCCGCTTCCATAGGTTTTCTCTGAGTACTTCGATAGGGTTGGTTTCTGAAGGGATCACACTGGGATCCCTCTCGTCTTCACTCTTCATTTCCCCCCCTGGAATAAAAGAAAGAGATTAAAACAGTGGAAGAAGCTGTGCCTCAGATGAAGGACCCACCCTTATTTGTTTTAGTGACAATTACATAAGGCCATCTACAGAGGGAGTCAAGCTGTTCTCCAAAGCATCTGAAGGCAGGACAAGAAACAACGGATGGAAACTAATCAAGGAGAGAAGCAACCTAGAACTAAGGAGAAACTTCCTGACAGAACAATTAATCATTGGAACAATTTGCCTCCAGAAGTGGTGAATGCTCCAACACTCGAAGTTTTAAAGAAGAGACTGGACAGCCATTTGTCTGAAAATGGTATAGGGTTTCTGACCTCCAAGGTTTCTGACCTCCAAGGTCCCTTCCAACTGTATTTATTACTATTATTATTATTATTATTATTATTATTACTACTACTACTACTACTACTACTACTACTACTACTACTACTACTAGCTGTACCCGGCCACGCGTTGCTGTGGCTCTCGTTCACTCAGCCAACAGATGACGCTGTTTTTCAAAAAAAGCATGTTTTTACCTGTCACAGGTGTGACATCTATATAATAGTAGGTATATACTGTAAAAACACGCGCGTATTTGAATGCAACGTTGTTTCAAAATTTCAAAGCAATCGGTGAAGAACTTTAGCAGATTTAAGATTTTGAACAAACGAACATTTACATTTTTATTTATATAGATTACTATTATATCTAAAATGCAAACAAACTATGGTTATGAAATAATGGTTTCCGGATGGTTGCTAAACTTCAGGTTTAAACTCAAATTCGAACACTCAGCCTAGCTCAGGGATAGGCAACCTTGGCTCTTTTATGACTTGTGGACTTCAACTCCCAGAATTCCTGAGCCAGCCTGGCTCAGCTTGGAAACCTCTCCCTTTCCCCTTAGCATGGCTGGCTCAGGAATTCTGGAAGTTGAAGTCCACGAGTCATAAAAGAGCCACGGTTGCCTAGCCCTGGCCTAGCTCAATGCAGATCAGAAGGCCTCTGAGGAGATGATTTTCCAGTGGATGGGAACATCTGCCCTTTAGACCAGCAGCCTGCCCCCTTCCCCTCCCTCCCAAATGCATACAGGTAATCCTCGAGTTACGACCATGATTGAACCTGACATTTCTACTGCTAAACGAGACAATGATTAAGTTAGTTTTGCCCCATTTTACGACCTTTCTTGCCACAGTTAAGCGAATCGCTGTCGTTAAGTCAGTGACACGGTTGTTAAGTGAATTCCGGCTTCCCCACTGACTTTGCTTGGCGGAAGGTCGCAAAAGGGGAATCACGTGACCCTGGGACATAGCAACTGTCATAAATACGAAAACAGTTGCCAAGCATCCAAATCTTGATCACGTGACCCTGGGGACGCTGCAACGTTCATAAATATGAAAAATGCTCATAAGTCACTTTTTGCAGTGCCACTGTAACTTCGAACCGTCGCTAAAT